TCCTCCCACCCCCCCTCTCTCTACCCCCCTCTCTACCTCCCCCTCTACTCTCTACCCCCCTCCCTCTCCCTCCCCCTCCCTCTCTCCACCCCCCTCTCTCTAACTACCCCCTCTCTCTACCCCCCCCTCTCTCTCTCTACCTCTCTCTACCTCCCTCTACCTCTCTTCTCTACCCCTCTCTCTCTACCTCTACCTCTCTCTCTACCCCCCCCTCTCTCTCCCTCTCCCCCCCTCTCTCTACCTCTACCCCTCTCTCTATACATCTACCTCTCTCTCTCTCTCTACCTCTCTCTACCCCTCTCTCTCTACCTCTCTCTCTCTACCTCCCTCTCTACCTCTCTCTCTACCTCTCTCTCTACCCCCTCTCTACCCCTCTCTCTACCTCTCTCTCTCTACCTCCCTCTCTACCTCTCTCTCTACCTCTCTCTCTACCCCTCTCTACCTCTCTCTCTATACCTCTCTCTCTCTCTCTCTCTACCTCTCTCTCTATCTCTCTCTCTCTACCTCTCTCTCTACCCCTCTCTCTCTCTCTCTCGCCCAGGTCCTAATGCCCGCATATTGATGTGCCTGGGCGATCCGCGCATGCGCAGATTCGCGCGTCGCGGCAAAGCCCGAGGTCCCTGACAACCCCACAGAGTCTGATTGCAAAAAAACTTGGAACTTGTATTGAAGCAAATGCCAAACTACAAACACACCCCAGCGGGGGGAAAACCGCTTAGAAAAAACACTCACAGTTCAGTTCAAATGCAGAGATGCAGCGGGAAGAGACGCACCGACAGCATCTGTTTCAGAGGGTGAAGTGCAGCCTGGCTGGCTCGGTTCCAAACACAGAAGGCTTCCATGAGGATAGTGAATCCCTAGCCTGTCACTACTCATCAGGAACCTTTGCAAATTAGCCTTGAAAAAGAACAAGATTCGGCTTTTAACCTCCCTGGTGGTATTCCCGAGTGTAGCTCGGGGTAAAATGTCAGTACCAAAAGCGGTAACCCCGAGCTACACTCGGGCTTACCATGCGGCGCTGCATAGGGAGTCCCTGCAGAGCTTACCTTGTCCTGCGCTCCCGCGATGTGTCCCCTGCAGCGTCCCCGGCCATCTCCTCCGGCTGATGCCGGCATCTGGCTTCTGTGTTCCGGTCCCTGTGATGTCGGGACATACGGGCGCCGCCGGCAGCGGCGGGAAATTTGAAAATTTTAAAAAATGTCATTTTTTTCCAAACAAATTTTACATAGTAAAACATTGCTGTTTCAACCCATTTCACATACAATTTGTCCCTAGTGCTTTGTCCGGCGCCCTGCCTCCATTTTTACTGTTCTTTCTGCTTGGAAACTGAGAAAAGTCCATGGCGTCCAAAAAAGCGTCCCTTTAGGTCAAAAGTGGTTTTAGACCAGCTAGAGAACAGCGATAGTAAATCAGAACCACTTGCAGAATTGAGTGATAATGATTCGTGGGGGAAATTCCTCATCAGACACTGAAAACGATTTTGCGACTTTGCTCAGCGATGTGCGAACTTGGAGCTATAATTCAAATATCAGTGTTTTTTGATGATTACATTATTGAATTATATGTATTATTATTATATTATTATTTTTTATGATTATTTATTAAATTATAATTTATTATTTCGTGTTTCAAATTTTATCATACCCGGGATGTTTACTAGACTCTTGTTCGGACAGATTTCAGTGAGTTATTCCTAAAAATTACAGGCCTACAATAAAAAAACTATTTCCATGCAAAATAATGTACCGCTTTCAGCACCAAAAATCTGAAATAATCAGACCGCTAGGGAGGTTAAGATTCGGTGTTTAAGAACGTCCCCCGGAGTTTGTGGAGCATCCAGCGAACCAAACATTGACCAGTTCACTCATCACTTAGTGGTCACATTTGTATGACCAATTTTTTTTCCTATTCCTTAGAGCTGTTCTCGCACCCAGAAATAAAAGTAACCCATAATCCAGCAGTAGAAGGTGATCACATGACCCTGACATGTGATACAAGACTCAGTCCGCTCAGACCGAGGACAGAACTGCAGTTTGCATTCCATAAAGATGGACAGAACATTCAGAGATTCGGTTCCTCTGATCAATATGAACTCCAGTCCGCTCAGCTGAAGGATTCTGGGAATTATTTTTGTGAAGTGAAAACATCTACCACCAATGTATCAAAGAGGAGCAAGATGTTACCTTTACAAATAAAAGGTAAGTGAGGAATGGCTATTAGATATACACAGTATAAATGTTCAATATTTATTTTATCCATTTGTAACATTACAAACAGTTCCCATATAAAAGCATTGGAATAGCATGGTAGTAGTCGTTTTCTGCCCACATGGAAGAAAAAAATATTTGAAATATATTTTAAAAATGTTCTTTCCAAATATATTGACATATGTTTGAAATACTACAATTTTGGCCGTAGCCAATATATTTCAAAATATATTTCAATATATAGATATATATACTGCATGTTGAAATGTGTTTTTTATACATTACAAAATATATGAAAAATATTTTTTTAAATATATAATATTTTAAATATATTCTTCAGATATTTTTTAACATACAGAAAAGTCATTTTAACATATATCTTTACATATATTTGTAAATGCACTCCAAAAATGTAGATTAAATGTATTTTTAAAGACATGCAGTATATTTGAAAATGTATTTTTAAAAATATTTTTCATATATTTTGTAATAAAAACGCATTTCAACATACAGTATATATATATATATATATATATTATATATATATATATATATATATATATTATATATATATATTGAATACGGTCAAAATTGTAGTATTTCATATATATGTCAATATATTTGGGAAGAATATTTTTAAAATACATTTAAAATATATTTTTTTCTTCCATGTGGGGTGTACCAAAACTAACATTTATGTATTAAAAAAAAAAGAATCTTGCAAATTAGCCTTAAAAAAAGGCCAAAAATAACAAGATTTGGCTCCTATAGTCTTCAGTAGGGTTTGATGATATATATTTAGTGCTTAAGAACGTCCCCCCGTTTTTGTGGAGCATAAAAACTTTGCCCAGTTCACTCATCAATTACACTGTTCAACAAATTTTTATTTTTTGCCAGTTTTGGAAACAAAAGGATCCATTTCTTAATGAATTTCACATTCTGAGTTCAAATATAACAATGAAATTTGTCAGTTGGCTCTAGTTTTTCTGTAAACGGAAAGTTTTCTACTATAGGCGTAATGACTACATAATGCACAATAATTATATGGATAGATGTCTTTCCACAAATATAAAGCAAGTGATATTGACTACATAACAAAGCCTAAATGGCATAATATATTGCATAGGATTACCAAGAAAAATTATAGTCATAAGCTAAGCTGAATCATTTTAATACTTAGGATTCTCACTAGTTTTGTCTTCAGTTTGTGTCGGTTTTGCTTCTCTTGGCTTTTCTCTTGTATTCGAGGAAAGGGCTATCTCTTACAACTGCACGTGACTACACGCTTCAGGTTCTTCCTCACTTGACTCAACCACGAAGAATTCTGGTGCTTTAGGAATTGGTAGCCCCTCTCCATGAGGAACTGGACGTATTGCCGATGAAATATTTGGATAGTGCACAGATAACTTTTTCTTCTTATTTAGCCCTTTTACAATTGGAGGCACCATACAAAAGTAACAATTACTAACATGATCTGTTGGCTCTCTCCAAATCATTGGCACAGCGAAAGGCATAGATGCCTTTATTTTTTTTCCATTCAACCATTGCTCCAGTGCCGTCCCACAAGAATTGCAGCATATATGTGGTGCCCAGCTCTTGTCCTGGTCTCCTATGTTGCAGCCAAAATACAAGTTGTAGGCTTTCTTAATCATTCCTGTTATCCTCCTTTTTGTGAGATAAAAGTTATTTCACCGCAGATATAGCAGAAATTATCTGCTTTATTCACACAAGTTCGAGGCATTACTGAGTAGCCTATTTAAGCATAAAACGAAATGTAAAGACGCTGTCGAACTACAATCAGCTACAGACACTGCAGCTTTTATGCAGTGAAGTGATGCAATTAAAGGCTAATATTGCATCATCTCAGTATACATGCAATTTTCTATTGGTCACCAGTATCAATTGCGCAATATGCAGCTGAAGTTGCATCATAATTTTGAATGGCTTACATCATTAGATGGGTGAATATATCATGGAAACTAGAGCCAATCAACATTTTTAGGGTCATTTTCGTTTTCAGCACCCCAAAATTATGTAAGATTAGCTAATTTTATGCCCAAAAACGTTTTACCTGTTGAACAGTGTTAGTGGTCACATTTATATTACCAGATTTTTTTTCCATTCCTTAGAGCTGTTCTCACAGGTGATCCAGTAAAAGCATTGGAATATCATAGTAGCAACCATTTCTGAGTACCAAAACTGTGACATTTATATATTTAAAAAAATATTGCAAGCTATCTTTGAAAATGGTACAAAAAATAGCAAGATTTGTCTGCAATAGTCTTCAATGGGGTTTGGCGATCTGTTTGGTGTTTGAGACATCCCCCAGAGTTTGAAGAACACCTAGCAAACCAAGTTTTGGCCAGCTTGCTCATCACTCAGAGGTAACATTTATGCATTATCACTTTTTTCTATTCCTTAGAACTGTTCTCGCAGCCAAAAATAAAACGAATCCGACATCCAGTGGTAGAAGGTGATCATGTGACCCTGACATGTGACACGAGTCTCAGTCCGCTCAGACCAAGGACAGAACTGCAGTTTGCATTCCATAAAGGATGGACAGAATATTCAAGAGATTCGGTTCCTCTGATCACTATGGAGTCCAGTCCGCTCAGTTGAAGGATTCTGGGAATTATTCCTGCGAAGTGAAAACATTTACCACCAATGTATCAAAGAGGAGCAAGATGTTACCTTTACAAATAAAAGGTAAGCAAGGAACAGCTATTTTACATATTTCCCAAATAAAAGCATTGGAATAGCATACTAGCAGTCATTTCTGAGTACCAAAACTATAACATTTTATATATTTAAAAAAAAGCTTGCAAACTAGCCTTGAAAAGGTTAAAAAATAACATGATTTGGCTTCAATGGGGTCTGGCGATCTGTTTGGTGGTTGAGAACTTTCCCCCCAGGGTTTGAAGAACACCTAGCAAACCAAGTTTTGGCCAGCTTGCTCATCAGTCAGAGGTAACATTTATGCATTATCACTTTTTTCTATTCCTTAGAACTGTTCTCGCAGCCAGAAATAAAACTAATCCAACATCCAGCGGTAGAAGGTGATCACGTGACCCTGACATGTGACACGAGTCTCAGTCCGCTCAGACCAAGGACAGAACTGCAGTTTGCATTCCATAAAGATGGACAGAATATTCAGAGATTCGGTTCCTCTGATCAATATGGAATCCAGTCCGCTCAGCTGAAGGATTCTGGGAATTATTGCTGCGAAGTGAAAACATTTACCACCAATGTATCAAAGAGGAGCAAGTTGTTACCTTTACAAATAAAAGGTAAGCGAAGGAATAGCTATTTTATATATTTCCAAATAAAAGCATAGGAATAGCATAGTAGAAGCCATTTCTGAGTACCAAAACTATAACATTTATATATTTTAAACAAAACTTGCAAACCAGCCTTGAAAAGGTTACAAAAAATAACAAGATTTTGCTTCAATAGTCTTCAATGGGGTCTGGCGATCTGTTTGGTGTTTGAGAACTTCCCCAGGGTTTGAAGAACATCTAGCAAACCAAGTTTTGGCCAGCTTGCTCATCACTCAGAGGCCACATTTATATTACCAGATTTGTTTTCCATTCCTTAGCGCTGTTCTCGCAGGTGATCCAGTAAAAGCATTGGAATAGCAAAGTAGAAGCCATTTCTGTGTACCAAAATTGTGACATTTATATATTTTAAAAAAAAGCTTGCAAGTTACCCTTGAAAATGGAAAAAAAATAACAAGATTTGTCTGCAATAGTCTTCAATGGGGTTTGGCAATCTGTTTGGTGTTTGAGACATCCCCTGGGGTTCGAAGAACATCTAGCAAACCAAGTTTTGGCCAGCTTGCTGATAACTCAGAGGTAACATTTATGCATTATCACATTTTTCTATTCCTTAGAACTGTTCTCGCAGCCAGAAATAAAACTAATCCAACATCCAGCGGTAGAAGGTGATCACGTGACCCTGACATGTGACACGAGTCTCAGTCCGCTCAGACCGAGGACAGAACTGCAGTTTGCATTTCATAAAGATGGACAGAATATTCAGAGATTCGGTTCCTCTGATCACTATGGATCCAGTCCGCTCAGCTGAAGGATTCTGGGAATTATTCCTGCGAAGTGAAAACATTTACCACCAATGTATCAAAGAGGAGCAAGTTGTTACCTTTACAAATAAAAGGTAAGCGAAGGAATAGCTATTTTATATATTTCCAAATAAAAGCATAGGAATAGCATAGTAGAAGCCATTTCTGAGTACCAAAACTATAACATTTATATATTTTAAACAAAACTTGCAAACCAGCCTTGAAAAGGTTACAAAAAATAACAAGATTTTGCTTCAATAGTCTTCAATGGGGTCTGGCGATCTGTTTGGTGTTTGAGAACTTCCCCAGGGTTTGAAGAACATCTAGCAAAGCATGTTTTGGCCAGCTTGCTCATCACTCAGAGGTCACATTTATATTACCAGATTTGTTTTCCATTCCTTAGCGCTGTTCTCGCAGGTGATCCAGTAAAAGCATTGGAATAGCAAAGTAGAAGCCATTTCTGTGTACCAAAATTGTGACATTTATATATTTTAAAAAAAAAAGCTTGCAAGTTACCCTTGAAAATGGAAAAAAAATAACAAGATTTGTCTGCAATAGTCTTCAATGGGGTTTGGCAATCTGTTTGGTGTTTGAGACATCCCCTGGGGTTCGAAGAACATCTAGCAAACCAAGTTTTGGCCAGCTTGCTGATCACTCAGAGGTAACATTTATGCATTATCACATTTTTCTATTCCTTAGAACTGTTCTCGCAGCCAGAAATAAAACTAATCCAACATCCACCGGTAGTAGGTGATCACGTGACCCTGACATGTGACACGAGTCTCAGTCCGCTCAGACCGAGGACAGAACTGCAGTTTGCATTCCATAAAGATGGACAGAATATTCAAAGATTCGGTTCCTCTGATCAATATGGAGTCCAGTCCGCTCAGCTGAAGGATTCTGGGAATTATTCCTGCGAAGTGAAAACATTTACCACCAATGTATCAAAGAGGAGCAAGATGTTACCTTTACAAATAAAAGGTAAGCAAGGAACAGCTATTTTACATATTTCCCAAATAAAAGCATTGGAATAGCATACTAGCAGTCATTTCTGAGTACCAAAACTATAACATTTATATATTTTAAAAAAAGCTTGCAAACTAGCCTTGAAAAGGTTCAAAAATAACATGATTTGGCTTCAATGGGGTCTGGCGATCTGTTTGGTGGTTGAGAACTTCCCCCCCCGGGGTTTGAAGAACATCTAGCAAACCAAGTTTTGGCCAGCTTGCTCATCACTAAGAGGTAACATTTATGCATTATCACGTTTTTCTATTCCTTAGAACTGTTCTCGCAGCCAGAAATAAAACTAATCCAACATCCAGCGGTAGAAGGTGATCACGTGACCCTGACATGTGACACGAGTCTCAGTCCGTTCAGACCAAGGACAGAACTGCAGTTTGCATTCCATAAAGATGGACAGAATATTCAGAGATTCGGTTCCTCTGATCAATATGGAGTCCAGTCCGCTCAGCTGAAGGATTCTGGGAATTATTCCTGCGAAGTGAAAACATTTACCACCAATGTATCAAAGAGGAGCCAAGTTGTTACCTTTACAAATAAAAGGTAAGCGAAGGAATAGCTATTTTATATATTTCCAAATAAAAAGCATAGGAATAGCATAGTAGAAGACATTTCTGAGTACAAAAACTATAACATTTATATATTTTAAACAAAACTTGCAAACCAGCCTTGAAAAGGTTACAAAAAATAACAAGATTTGGCTTCAATAGTCTTCAATGGGGTCTGGCGATCTGTTTGGTGTTTGAGAACTTCCCCGGGGTTTGAAGAACATCTAGCAAAGCCAGTTTTGGCCAGCTTGCTCATCACTCAGAGGCCACATTTATATTACCAGATTTGTTTTCCATTCCTTAGCGCTGTTCTCGCAGGTGATCCAGTAAAAGCATTGGAATAGCAAAGTAGAAGCCATTTCTGTGTACCAAAATTGTGACATTTATATATTTTAAAAAAAAAAAGCTTGCAAGTTACCCTTGAAAATGGAAAAAAAAATAACAAGATTTGTCTGCAATAGTCTTCAATGGGGTTTGGCAATCTGTTTGGTGTTTGAGACATCCCCTGGGGTTCGAAGAACATCTAGCAAACCAAGTTTTGGCCAGCTTGCTGATCACTCAGAGGTAACATTTATGCATTATCACATTTTTCTATTCCTTAGAACTGTTCTCGCAGCCAGAAATAAAACTAATCCAACATCCAGCGGTAGAAGGTGATCACGTGACCCTGACATGTGACACGAGTCTCAGTCCGCTCAGACCGAGGACAGAACTGCAGTTTGCATTCCATAAAGATGGACAGAATATTCAAAGATTCGGTTCCTCTGATCAATATGGAGTCCAGTCCGCTCAGTTGAAGGATTCTGGGAATTATTCCTGCGAAGTGAAAACATTTACCACCAATGTATCAAAGAGGAGCAAGATGTTACCTTTACAAATAAAAGGTAAGCAAGGAACAGCTATTTTACATATTTCCCAAATAAAAGCATTGGAATAGCATACTAGCAGTCATTTCTGAGTACCAAAACTACTATACCATTTATATATTTTAAAAAAAGCTTGCAAACTAGCCTTGAAAAGGTTCAAAAATAACATGATTTGGCTTCAATGGGGTCTGGCGATCTGTTTGGTGGTTGAGAACTTCCCCCCGGGGTTTGAAGAACATCTAGCAAACCAAGTTTTGGCCAGCTTGCTCATCACTAAGAGGTAACATTTATGCATTATCACGTTTTTTCTATTCCTTAGAACTGTTCTCGCAGCCAGAAATAAAACTAATCCGACATCCAGCGGTAGAAGGTGATCACGTGACCCTGATATGTGACACGAGTCTCAGTCCGTTCAGACCAAGGACAGAACTGCAGTTTGCATTCCATAAAGATGGACAGAATATTCAGAGATTCGGTTCCTCTGATCACTATGGAGTCCAGTCCGCTCAGCTGAAGGATTCTGGGAATTATTCCTGCGAAGTGAAAACATTTACCACCAATGTATCAAAGAGGAGCCAGATGTTACCTTTACAAATAAAAGGTAAGCGAAGGAATAGCTATTTTATATATTTCCAAATAAAAGCATAGGAATAGCATAGTAGAAGACATTTCTGAGTACAAAAACTATAACATTTATATATTTTAAACAAAACTTGCAAACCAGCCTTGAAAAGGTTAAAAAATAACAAGATTTGGCTTCAATAGTCTTCAATGGGGTCTGGCGATCTGTTTGGTGTTTGAGAACTTCCCCGGGGTTTGAAGAACATCTAGCAAAGCAAGTTTTGGCCAGCTTGCTCATCACTCAGAGGCCACATTTATATTACCAGATTTTGTTTCCATTCCTTAGCGCTGTTTCTCGCAGGTGATCCAGTAAAAGCATTGGAATAGCAAAGTAGAAGCCATTTCTGTGTACCAAAATTGTGACATTTATATATTAAAAAAAAAAGCTTGCAAGTTACCCTTGAAAATGGAAAAAAAATAACAAGATTTGTCTGCAATAGTCTTCAATGGGGTTTGGCAATCTGTTTGGTGTTTGAGACATCCCCTGGGGTTCGAAGAACATCTAGCAAACCAAGTTTTGGCCAGCTTGCTGATCACTCAGAGGTAACATTTATGCATTATCACATTTTTCTATTCCTTAGAACTGTTCTCGCAGCCAGAAATAAAACTAATCCAACATCCACCGGTAGTAGGTGATCACGTGACCCTGACATGTGACACGAGTCTCAGTCCGCTCAGACAGAGGACAGAACTGCAGTTTGCATTCCATAAAGATGGACAGAATATTCAAAGATTCGGTTCCTCTGATCAATATGGAGTCCAGTCAGCTCAGTTGAAGGATTCTGGGAATTATTCCTGCGAAGTGAAAACATTTACCACCAATGTATCAAAGAGGAGCAAGATGTTACCTTTACAAATAAAAGGTAAGCAAGGAACAGCTATTTTACATATTTCCCAAATAAAAGCATTGGAATAGCATACTAGCAGTCATTTCTGAGTACCAAAACTATAACATTTATATATTTTAAAAAAAGCTTGCAAACTAGCCTTGAAAAGGTTCAAAAATAACATGATTTGGCTTCAATGGGGTCTGGCGATCTGTTTGGTGGTTGAGAACTTCCCCCCGGGGGTTTGAAGAACATCTAGCAAACCAAGTTTTGGCCAGCTTGCTCATCACTAAGAGGTAACATTTATGCATTATCACGTTTTTCTATTCCTTAGAACTGTTCTCGCAGCCAGAAATAAAACTAATCCAACATCCAGCGGTAGAAGGTGATCACGTGACCCTGACATGTGACACGAGTCTCAGTCCGCTCAGACCAAGGACAGAACTGCAGTTTGCATTCCATAAAGATGGACAGAATATTCAGAGATTCGGTTCCTCTGATCAATATGGAATCCAGTCCGCTCAGCTGAAGGATTCTGGGAATTATTGCTGCGAAGTGAAAACATTTACCACCAATGTATCAAAGAGGAGCAAGTTGTTACCTTTACAAATAAAAGGTAAGCGAAGGAATAGCTATTTTATATATTTCCAAATAAAAGCATAGGAATAGCATAGTAGAAGCCATTTCTGAGTACCAAAACTATAACATTTATATATTTTAAACAAAACTTGCAAACCAGCCTTGAAAAGGTTCAAAAATAACAAGATTTGGCTTCAATAGTCTTCAATGGGGTCTGGCGATCTGTTTGGTGTTTGAGAACTTCCCCCAGGGTTTGAAGAACATCTAGCAAACCATGTTTTGGCCAGCTTGCTCATCACTCAGAGGCCACATTTATATTACCAGATTTGTTTTCCATTCCTTAGCGCTGTTCTCGCAGGTGATCCAGTAAAAGCATTGGAATAGCAAAGTAGCAGCCATTTCGGAGTTCCAAAACTGTGACATTTATATATAGCTTGCAAGTTACCCTTGAAAATGGTAAAAAAAAAAACAAGATTTGTCTGCAATAGTCTTCAATGGGGGTTTGGCGCTCTGGTGTTTGAGAACTTCCCCCAGGGTTTTAAGAACATCTAGCAAACCATGTTTTGGCCAGCTTGCTCATCACTCAGAGGTAAAAGTGCATTATCAATTTTTTTTATTCCTTAGAACTGTTCTTGCAGCCAGAAAATGTCCCTACCACCAAAGCACCAATTGGTTTCACTTGATCCGGAGGTCAAAACGTCAGAGTCCTTCCTTGGCCTTTGAATCGATATCATGTAGTTCTGCACAGGGGCGGACTGACCATTTGGAAACTCGGGGACTGCCCGAGGGCCCGGGGTCAGTAGGGGGCCCCATGAGATGCCCGTGGTACCTTTTTCATAGGCTTTTTTGAGTTTTGGCAAGGACAAAGGGGCCCCATGATCCCCTATTGCCCGGGGGCCCCATGAGTTGTCAGTCCGCCCCTGGTTCTGCAATTATGCAACGTCAAGATCCCATTAACAGCAGAAACCACCCCTAGAACGTTAGAAACTCAAAGCAGAAGCAGAAATAATGATTGGTCAATATGGGGAGCTTTGACACTTTATGCTATGAATATGGCGGCTCACAGGTTACTTCTAGGGCAATGCTATAATAAATTCCTATATGGAGTCTATACAGCTGCGGACTGACAACTCATGGGGCCCTCCGGACAATAAGGGATCATGGGGCCCCTGTGTACTCACCCACACTCAAACCACTCCCAAAAAAGCTTATGAAAGATACCAGGGGCATCTCTTGGGGCCCCCTACTGTCCCCAGGCCCTCGGACAGTGCCTGAGAGTCCGAATGGTCAGTCCGCCCCGGAGTCTATATAATTCCATGTCCCATGCTTCCATGTCTCCATGTTTGTCTAGGACTCCTAAGTGAGCTCTACGTCCCAGAGACATACCTAGAGGTTGAACAGTTTTATTTCATACGTGAATGTAAAGTAAGAAGCGGGACATAAGGGCAGCACATCCTGATAATTGAAATATAGGTTGGAAAAGGAAAAGATGGACTTTTCAGGAGCCAGTACACAATTTTTAAAAAATACAAAATTTTATGACAATACTCAAAAGTTAAAAACCATTCACCAGTGGAAACCACCATACCCCCCATCTTAATGTAAACAATAAACAATTGATGATGAGTCAGATGACTTCCAAATTTGGGGTATCTTCAACGTGGGTGCGGTTTCTCAACGTGGTTTGTAGGAATTCCGCTTCTTCAAGAGCTATGGGGAGTGCAATTTAAACAATTGATGGTGCCCTGAGCATAATATTGGCGACATTCCAAATTCTATGTTGAAGCAACTGGACTGGTCACTGTGGGGGTGTTTGTAAATTGTAGGTGATGCTGCCAGGGCCCTTTCATGGCATTAGTGACATGGTTCTGGATGACT